GGGACACGAAAGCTTACCTTGCAAGCTAACAATCCAAGCCAAGAGTCCAACCAAGCTCAAAGCCCAAACACAGCAAAATCACAATCTGTTTTGGACCAATAATAATATTAAAATTCAAGCACAACAATCATACGATATGAAGACAATGCCTTTCCTTTACGTTTCATGTCTTTAGGCTTCTCACAAAGCCACAAGCCCTTAATCACATAGATTCTGCCTTAGTTTAATTTTTACAGAAGTCCCACTTCATCAATCTAAGGTCCACAAACCCATAACAGCCTTCTGTATGAACAATACAGCTACTGTTCTCGGAAACCCAGAATATTCGGATATTTGTCGGGGGCATATCCGGATATCGATATCCGGATATCAATATCCGCATATGCATATCCGGATATCATATCTGGATATCCATATTCAGATATCTCAAAGCCCATATCTGGATATCCATATCCAGATATCCATATCCAGATATCAATATCCGGATATCCATATCTGGATATTTTGCGACAGAATGCAGTTTCTGCATTTCGCGAGAAATCACTTCCAAGGTTCCATTTTTAACACTTTAAAACGTTAAAGCATGCATCTTTAAGCCCATTTAGGTTCAAATACTAGTTGGTTACTTGTTTTACTCATTAAACATACCAAGACTCCACTTTTACCCATTAAAACTCATGATCAAAGGTTGTACAACTTACCCAAGGCTCAAAACAGAGCAAAGGATGCTCTTGGAGCTCACCAACAGCTCCTCAAGTTTCTGTTTCCACAATGACACGAAAATGACAAGCAAGCAAGGTTCTTTCTCACTAAAGGTGGCTCCTTGAAGCTCAACAAGCAAGGAACAATGGCTTCCTAACACTCAAACCAACAAGTCAGCCTTCAAACACAAGGGAACAACACCTCCAACTCAGAAATGACTGACCCTCACCCTCACAAGTCACTCAACCAAGTGTTTACTGAGCTAAAGAGGGGAAAACCAAGCAAATAGGTGACAACTTGGGTTTGTTCAAGAAGAAAATGGAGATAGAAGGCTTGGAGAACACCAACTCAGAAATGGAGGCACAAGAGTCACGTAGGAATGCAATTTTTCTGACCTAGGATCATGTGCCACCCTTTATATAGCTCACTTAAGTTCTAATCGCACTGCATTAGCGCTAATAGCTACGCTTAACATTTTAAATCTCAAACTTAGGATTCTGAACCTACTCATTTTTCCAAGATTTATCATATTTTTATTTTATTTTTCGCAGCACCTTTTCGGTATGCGCTTTTCCATAGCCAGTATCAGTTCTGGCACCAGTTCTCATTATTTTAACTTTAAACTTGAAATCACAGTCCTATATATATTTCTAGAAATATTTATGCACTTATTATAATTTTCTGGGATACTTCGTCGGTACGCTTTTATACCGAGTAGCAGAACCGGTATCTGCACTTTTCGTCAGAAAATTGACTTCCAGCATTTTTAATCACTTACCATAATTATTTAAGTCTCGTAATAATTATTAGGGTCAATTATGGAATTATTTCCTAATTTCTCATAATTAATTAATTAACCTCCTTAATTAACGATGCGGGTTCTTACAGGTATCTCCTTCATAGATACCTTAGAGAGGACACTAGATCCAAGATCAACATACCAGCATGTTGGGCTAGACATATCTGTCACCAAGACAGAACATTGGCGCTGTCTGTGGGAACCTTCTTCTTTGAATTTGAAGTTCCCACCATTCTGACTGAAAGATGGCAGTCTGTACAAGAAGTAATAGCCAACAACCACACCCTCAGAATCAGCCGCTGGATCCAGTCTTGGAAGAGGTGAATCAACCTCAAAACCAACCTGGGAATGAAATAGATTATGATCATGTTCATGTCAGTGAGGATGTGTCAGACACAGCTTCCACCCCAACACATCATGATCGGGTTGTGGCTCCAACTATGAACAATCCTCCCTAGCATCCCAGGGATTTTGCTGCGCGTATTGCCCAATCTGCAGATCCTGATACTCGGCTTGCCCAAAATGCGTTCGCTGCAATTTTGCGGTGAATGGAAGAGATGGAGAATCGAAATAACCTCCAGCGAAAATAAGACTTCGAAAGGATCTGGAGCAGGATCTGGAGCAGCGTTTAATGGAGAGGACAGGGCCTGGGGCCAGAGAGATCCAAGGTTGAGATGTCAATGGTCGTGAAGGGGACCGCAACCCGGTTACTGAGGTAGGAAACCAAGGAAGGCCCAATCCAGTGATCACACCGGGTACAAACCCAAGGAACAATGAAAGACCCAATCCTGCGAGCATGATGGGTCCGAACCTAGAGGACATTGGAACAACTGATCAGAACGCGGCTATGCAAATGGGCAGAGAAACTGGATGATATACATCTCAACCAAAATGCTCAAGTTGCCAGAGGGCGTGCTGAACCCAGTGGCTATAAGAGGAAATACAATATGGGGTAATATAATAATAGTCCCTTTACTGATGAAATATTGAATGCTTCTTTCTCGGAGGATTTTGATTCGGAACGCTTGCCAAAATACGATGGAAGTCAGGACCCACAGGTCTACATAGATGCGTTTGATACGGACATGTATAACCGAGGAATTGATGAGCCCCTCATATCTCGGATATTTTCCATAACCTTGACTAGGGCAGCGTGAGCATGGTTCTCAACTCTTCTTGTCAATTCCATTGGATCTTTTGAGGAATTTGGACAAAAGTTTCTCCTGAATTTTGCAACTAGCAAAAAGCATCTGAAGTCTGAGTTTACCCTGGGAAAGATACGACAACAACCCGGAGAAACTCTCCAGAGGTATCTTAACATGTTTACACAACACGTTTTTGGGTGTAATTGTACCGTTGTATTTTCATCTGGTAAAACATTATTCATCAAATTTCCAGAAACATGCCTAACCACTCAATTTTTTGTTATGAATCCATTTCTAAGGTTGTTTTTCTCATTTGAGACCTTATACTATCATTTTACTGTTTAGGATTACGTATTTGTTAAATTACTGTTTTACCTTTTTTACGTATTTTAACCTAAAACTCAGGATTTTTACTAATCCTACCCTTTAATCCTCAATTTAAGTACAATTAGGTGTTTTGAATCTACGAGATGTTATAACGTAGGCGAGAGAAAAAAATAACTTTAATATTATAACTATATGTTACCCGTAGAAAGAGAAAAAAATAATTTTAATATTATAACTATGTACTACCCATAGTACATAGTTATAATTTTTTAACCAGACAAAAGCTTGTATGCAGTCACATGACACCCAATTTTTCCTATATATATATATATATATATATATATATATATATATATATATATATATATGGGTCGTTCGATTCGGCAACAGTGATAAACAAAATATCTGTCACAGACACAACATACTGGGACCCACATTTTTTAAAAAAAATTTACCAGAATCCGCCTATATATAAATTTGTGTGTGTGTGTGGGAGACAAAAGTGTTTATGCCACAACTGCATAAATACTTTTGCCTATATATAGTGTAATATGACTAAAAAGTATTACATAATAATAAAAAATATTTCAAGAAAGTAAAGATAATGATTTTCTTACAATTCATGCATCAGTTCAATTTTAATGCATTTAGTTGATTCTCGTTTTTATATAATTTTTTTTTTTTTGAGATATTTTAATAAGTTTATTGTTTTACGATTCAGAATGGATTCCGGGATTAAGACTTTTAACTACTTTCCACCTGCTATAATTATTTTTTGTAATCAGCATTCTTTTTGTCATTATTCCTTGTAATTATTTCAGATTATTTTATATTTAATGGCTTGTAAAATATTTTTATTCCCTCCCTGTACACAAATTTTCTCGCATTGTGTTTGTGTTATGTCAGCAGGCCCGCGTTTAAAATTGTCACCCCAAATTTATATGAAGACACTAGCATATACCCAGAAGACTAAATTGATGATTTACTCTCGTCTTGATTAAATTTTTCAGGAATGCATGTGACCCTGAAAGTTGGACAAATGCATCCACCTTTGAAAGGTAAAAGAGTGTTCAACGCATTGTTCAAAGGGAACGACTCAATACATTTTTTTGATTTCCCTATTCCTAGAGCATCCCACACGTCATCATCAGTATTGACCATGATGACATGGCGAGAAGAATTTCATTGATATCGGATTACTATTTATTCAGTTGTCCAGATCAATCAAAATTATATAACTAACGAGAAGAGAGAGGAGAGAAAAAATAAAAAATAACTTTTTGTTCACATGTCACTTTTTGAATGGAAGGACCATGCTAGGTCTGGATCACTAAAAATAAAATTCCATGCTAACATTGTTTGAAAAAAAGCATGCACGCTGACGACAAAATTTTTGATGCACCCGGACCATTAAAACTTGATCGTATTTTTACTAAAATGATTTTTTTTTTCTATACTTTTTTTATATATTTTCTTTTAAATTCTAAAAAATTTCATTTTTTTTTTTTGTAAAAAAAGCCACCGAATTTCAGTGTTCTAGGTGCATCAAAACTTTTCTAAATTTCTAAAACTTTTAGTAGAGGAGACATCGGTATGTAATCTACCATATCATGATCACGGCAGACTTGTTCAATGTCTATGAGAATTTACGCCAAAAATAATGGAAAAAATTCCTCTTTTACCTATCAACATGAGTCTCAAAGCAACCAGAAGAAATTGAACCCACACCCTTTTAAGATATATGCCGACTCCTTAGCCACTTGCGCCATCGGATGTTGGCTGCATCAAAACTTTTCTCCACCCCCAAGATGTGGAAATGCATAACAGTTCTAACGCACTCCAACACGTCATCATCGAATATTAACAATTCTATGACGGCACGACTTTGTTAAAAAAAAAGAAAACAAACGAACAAACAAATAAAAGCAAGCAACCCGATATGTATAAATACACAACTGAAGCTGCATTTATTTCATACTCAAAAAACAAAAAGAAAGAGCAACTAGGAGAAGCCATAGTAAAAAGAAAAAGGAAAAAAAATGTCTGAACAAGATCATGTTATCCCTCTTCTTACTCCTTACAAGATGGGGAACTTCAATCTTTCACACAGGTAATGTCTCTTGGTGTTGAACTATCTAAGATGTATAACAAACTTGCTTTTTCGCTTGCTCTAGTGGCCTAAATGATGAAATCAATGTTGTAAAAAGACCATAATTATGAAGAATTGTTGGATTTTATAAATGTGTTGTTTTTGCATTTTCAGAGTTGTTTTAGCACCACTGTATAGAGCAAGATCTTACAACAATGTTCCTCAGCCCCATGCTGCCTTATATTACTCTCAAAGAACAACCAAGGGAGGCCTTCTGATATGTGAAGCTGCTGCTATTTCAGCCAATTCTCAAACGTAATTTACGTTTTTATTAATTGCATCATATCATTTACTGAGCTTTAGAACACAAAATTATGTATATTATACGAAGAAAGTTATATTTACAAGCTTTTTGTTTACAAACTATACTAAGTATGACCCATCATACTTCAATCAAAAGTCTATGACCAATCATATTTAATATAATTTAAAAAAAAAATTATAAACGGATCCCTTCTCATATTATATATTTCCAGGAAAAATGGCGAGTCTGCAGGTAAAATTGATTTTTTAAGAGTACAAGAATTATCCTCACATCTACCCTCACTAGTTCGGATTTAATGGAAATGGTTCTATATTCCTATGAAAGATATCATTTACTTACATTTGATGCATTTTGATTTGTGTGTAAAGCATTCGAAACGCACCTGGCATATGGTCAAGAGAGCAAGTCGAAGCATGGAAACCAATTGTGGATGCTGTTCATGCCAAAGGTGGTATATTCTTCTGTCAGATTATTCATGTTGGAAGGGTTTCAGATTCAGGTAAATTACTTCATGACGTTTTCATGTACCATATTATGTTTGTATTATGTATATTTTTTCTTAGTCAATTTAATACGAATATAAGTGAACACATGAACTTTTTGTGCAGATTTTCATCCAAATGGACAAGCTCTTATATCATCAACAAACAAGCCACTCACATCACAAAGTAATGGCATTGCACCAAGGCAGTTAAGGACAGATGAAATTCCTCATATTGTCAATGAGTTCAGAATTGCTGCAAGGAATGCCATGGAAGCTGGTGAGTCACGAACTATAATTGACAAGTATAGCAGTTATTATACAGCAACACTAAAGGCTAGAATCTAGATGATAGGCTATTACTTAGGGAAAGAACTATATATGCTAATAGTTCAAATCAAATTGGTTTTGCGTTTTAGAGATAAAAACGGTTCTTTAAAGTGTACTCAACATCAAAACATCTTATTTTTGCAAGTTTCCATGATTAATCTAATATTTCTAATATTTTTAAGGGAGCGAGCCTGAAATAGTGAGAAAAGCTATTGCTTTGTGATTGAAACAATGCTGGAATCGGTTTAATGAGAATGGTTTTATTTTAGTCTAGTATGAAAGCAAGTTTAACAAAGGGGGCGATGGATTGAACCTTAACTAAATAGTACAATTGTTATGCCCATTAATAAATACAATTTTTTTTAAGAAATTGAAGGTATCATTGCCTGAATTGATGAATTGGAAAAAGAAAAATGCAGCTATAGTCATGAGTGGATTTCCCATTTATTATGATAACCATGGTTTTAAATTGTAGTACGTCCGCAACCACGAATGTAGCTGCAATATTACAGTTTAAAAGTTTTTTGCAGTTTCGGTAATAATATACAAGGGCAACTCCGATCGCAATTATAATTTAAAACCATGATGATATGAGTATGTATAATGAATGAGATAATGAATTTTATGTGATAAGGGAACAGAAATAAGAGAGTGCAATAACACCACCATTAACCGTTTACAGCATATATATATATTTTTATTTTTTATTTCTCCATCAATTAATCGATTACCCAAGTTATTCGGACCATATAGGGAGATCATTTTGTCCATTATGTTAGAATTGAATATCCATACAGATGCAAGAGACAACCATACTTGTGTATCTACAAAAAAAACTTGTAGGATCGCTCAAATACAAAACCAACACATTATTGGGAAACAAGCTTTCTATTACATATATATTGCAGCATACTTTAAAATGAATATACTTTCTCAAATGTAGGATTTGATGGTGTTGAGATCCATGGGGCGCATGGTTTTCTAATTGACCAATTTATGAAAGATAAAGTTAATGATAGAACAGACAAATACGGTGGATCCCTTGAGAACCGTTGCCGCTTTGCAGAAGAAGTTGTTGAAGCTGTTGTTCAAGAAATAGGTTCAGAAAGAGTTGGAATAAGGTTATCACCTTTTTCAGACTACAATGAATGTGTTGACTCCAATCCTGAAGCATTGGGTATCTACATGGCTGAATCTCTGAACAAATATGGTGTTGTTTACTGTCACATGGTTGAGCCGAGATGGGATATTTCTGGAAAAAATGTTGAAAGCCCTTATAGTCTTGTACCAATGAAAAAGGTCTTTAAGGGAACTTTCATTGTTGCTGGAGGTTATGATAGAGAAGAAGGGAATAAGGTTATAGCTGAGAACAAAGCAAATCTTGTTGCATATGGTCGTGTGTTCTTGGCTAATCCAGATTTGCCTAAGAGATTTGAGCTTGATGCACCACTCAACAAGTATAACAGGGACACGTTCTACACTACTGATCCAGTTATAGGTTACACTGATTACCCTTTTTTTGAAGGCAGTGCTTAAGGTTGTTGTATGAATTAAGGAGAAGTGTGTTTAATGTTTTTCTTATTGCTTTACAATATTTGTTGTTGGAAAGTTGATATGTAGAATCCAGATTTGTACCCAATAATATAAGTCATTTTTAATAATATAATAACATTGCTGTTGATCATGACAAAATATTAGTATTGTGTATTCCCCCAATAATTTAAGGGATAGAATATTATTACTGCAAAATAATGTTATTTATCAAATTTTAATCATTGATTCTTGTCAATCAATGATTATCATTTATTGTGAATTAATAATTAATTAATAAATTTGATTTATGAAAATAATAACCGTTAATTGACGAAAATCAACGATTAAGATATGATAATGAAATTAATAATAACATTATTTGATAGTACCAATATCTTATCCCTAATTTAATAACGTAGCTGTTAATAAGAAAAAGCTGAGTACTAAAAATCTCATTTTGTTTTTAAAAAAATAAAACCCCAACTTTATGTACCTTTTTTACTTTTTAAACTATTTTTTTTATCATGATTAGTAATAGGAATTTGTGATGATTTTGATATAATACTATTGTAATATATATATATATGATTACTTTTTTGGTAAACATATATATATGATTTCAAGAAATATGTTTTAAAATAATTATCAATTAATTTTCTAATAGGCTTCTTTTTGAAATTTCATTTTATTTATTTTTACCTACAGTTAATGATCCAGATAACCTTCAGAAAACAAATTGGTAAACAATTTTGCAGACAAGGATTGTGTTCATGAAGGTCCGGTATAATTCACAATTTGCCTGAATTAGTACATGCAAGGGATTTTACTTTTCGAAAAATAAAATAAAATAAGGGATTTTACAAATCTGTTCAAACTCAAACTTATGATCTTGGTCTATTTAATTTGTGAATTAAACGAGTTGCAGATCACTAACCCGTGAGCCAGCTCTTGTGTAGAACGATTTGTGTCATAAATTAATTTGATTAACTTAAAAAGAAAATAATATATCGAATAAAGAAAGACCAATATTGCTCTTTCAATAAAACTTTTGATCAGGGTTGGCAAAAGTGTATCGGGCCAAATCACACGGTTGAAGTGAGAAGGCCTTTGGGTAATCTATTTTCTGGGTTGGAGGTTGTTGATGTTGTTGGGAGGACTTTGGTTCTCCTTCAGCACGATGATTCTGACTGGGGGTTGCAATGACACTCTGACGCTCAAGTCAGTATCAATGACAGGTTTATGTGTATTCTTAGTGAATTAGATGATAATACTTGGGCATGTACTCTCTGTTTATATAGTGGTTATGATGTCGCCTTAGGAAGGCGGAATGGTCTCTGATTGGTTGTTCAAGGACTGCAGGTTCTGCTAGTGCCTCCATAGCCTAATCTCTTGATGTCAGGCTACCTTGATAGAGTGGTGGCAAGCTGGTGCTGCCTTCTGTTTATTTGTACAATGGTGCGGTGAATCTTTATTAGTTTCCGAGATTGCTTCCTTATCTCTAAAGTTATGTTAATGGGCGGTTTCATGCGCGATGGTGTCATCGCGTCCTGTTATGCGCGATCTCACTCTGGGCCTTGTGGGTTTGGGCCTCGCTCTATATATTTGGGCCTTTGATGGGCCTATCATATTTTATCCAGATCAGTTGCCCCCTGGCTCGCAACTTTGATATTTGGAAAAGCTGGGAGATATATGTCCTTTATGCGCGGTATGTGTAAGAACCCGCACCGTTAATTTAGGAAATTAATTAAATAAATGTGAGAATTAGGAAATAACTGCATAATTGACCCTAATAATTATTATGAGGCTTAAATAGTTATGGTAAGTGAGTAATAATGATGGAAGTCGCTTTTCCGACGAAAAACGCAGATACCGGTTCTGCTACTCGGTATAAAAGTGTACTGATGAAGTATCCCAGAAAATTATAAAAAGTGTAAAAATATTCCTAGAATAATATGTAGGACTTGTTAAACAAGTTTCAAGTCAAAATAATGAGAACTGGTGCCAGAACTGATACTGGTTATGGAAAAGCGCGTACCGGAAATGTGCTACGAAAAATAAAATAAAAATATGACAAATCTTAGAAAAATGAGTAGGTTCGGAATCCTAAGTTTGGGATTAAAATACTAAGCGTAGCTATTAGTTCTAATATTGTGTGCTTAGGACTTAAAACGCTATAAATACGCAAGTTTGGCCCAAAACCCTAGGCCATATCAGACTTCTACGTGACACTCTTGGAGGCTGAACTGTGTGTTACTGTTTCATTGCTTCTCTTCACCATTTTGAGATCAAGTTGTCACCTTTCACTAATTTCATCCTCGCTACTACTTTCCCTCGCAATTTCCCTCGCAAAATCGTTTGCGAGGGAAAGTAGTAGCGAGGATGAAATTAGCGACGGAATTTTCATAGCAATTTCCTCGCTATACAAGATTTTTCTAGTAGTGTTTGCTTGATTTCTTCATCTCTAAACAAGTAAACACTTGGTAGAGTGCATTGTGAAGCTGAAGGTCAGTACTTGCTAGGGCGTGGGAATCATTTGGGGGAGGTGCAGTTGCTGCCTCCGAACTTGGTGTGTGTGTGTGTGTGAGCCATTTACTTGGCATTGGTGGTGCCAAGGAGCCATCTTTTGTGCAAAGGACCAATCTTTGATCATCATTTTCGCACACTGTTGAAGTCTGTACCTTGGAGCTGTTGTGTGAGCTCCAAGAGCTCTTGTGACTCTGTTTTAAAGCCTTTGGGTAAGCACCATCACCTTGATCATGAGTTTTCTTAGTTAAAAATGGAACCTTGATGCATGTAACAAGCTAAAGATCATAACTTAAGGTTGGGTAAGGTTAAACACACCTTAAAATGCATGTTTAAGCCTCTGGAATCGTAAAATAAACCATCTTTGGATTGATATCTCGCGAAATGCAGAATCTGAGTTCTGCCACGAAATATCCGGATATTGGGTTATAAATATCCAGATATTGATATCCGGATATGGGGTTCTAAATATCCGAATATGAATATCCGGATATTGCCAAATAGATATCCGGATATTGATATCCGGATATGCCCCTGACAAATATCCGGATATTCTGGGTTTTCGAGGACAGTAAGTTCATACAGAACAGAGTTATGGGTTTGTGGACCCTAGATTGATGAAGTGGGACTTCTGTAATAATTAAACTAAGTCAGAATCAAGAGATTAAGGGCTTGTGGCTTTGTGAGAAGCCTTAAGACTTGGAACGCAAAGGAAAGGCGTTGTCTTTATATCGTTTGCTTGTAGAATATGAATATTGATATGAATGTTGGTCTAAGCAGGTTGTGATCTTGCTGTGTTTGGACTTTGAGCTTGTGTGGACTCTTGGCTTGGATAGCTAGTTTGCAAGGTAAGCTTTCGTATCCTCGGTTTAGCCATTGTTGGTTCCACCATGTCCCATGGGGGGATGGTTATATGCATAATGTGTTTTCATGTATTGTTTTATTGAAATGCTATTGAGCTGTTAAGTGCAAATGCTATATGATATGTATGTGGTGTTTCACCTAGACAGGAAGCCATGGGGTGGTCCTGTGGGCGGGTACAGCATGGGTGTGTACTTATGTGGGTAATAGACGTATTCCTACATTTCTCTGATCAGTAGAATAGTTATAACACACATGACATGAATATCTACTGCATTGCACTGATTTTGGAACTGATATTGAATTACTGCTTTTAGAACTTATATTGAACATGTAAGTGAGCTTGGGGTGGAAGATCCTTGAGGACCCCTTGTCTTACTGAGATTTCTGTTTAGAGATCTCACCCCACGTTTGGGGCACCATTTCAGGTTCAGGTAATGCGATGGTTGAGACCTCTAGCGGCAGGAGGCCGGAGCTTAGCTGATATTGCTGTTTATATGCTGACATGTTTGAATGCTGGATTATATCTGCTGATGATATGTTATTAGCTTGTTGTGATTATGTTGCTGTTGTTGAGACTGTTGTTGGGCATTGTTTTCTTATTTGGTGAGCATGGGGATTGTCCATGCCACGTTTGATTATGGTTTGTTTGCTTAGACTTGAGTTGTAATAATCTATCAGGATATTGTCCAGACTACGTGTTGTAGATCCGTGACTTAGATACTCAGTTATTTATATATTGAGGTATTTCAGTTAGCTGTCTTTTGCAATTTACTACAGGCGATGTTTTCATGAAAATGATTAAGTAATCAACTTGGCTAAGTAAAATGATGTCATAATTGAAAAGTAAAAAGTTATTCCGCAAATTTTAATTAAGTGTGGCTTAATACAATGACATGTTAACAAACCGGGTTAACACGGAGTGTTACATTTTATGGTATCAGAGCATTTTCTAAGGAAAATCCTGTATGTATTGCAATAACTAGGATGTTTTGTTGCGAGTCGTGTCTGTGTGTTCTCTCTTTTGGGTTTTGCTATGATAATGCATATGTGACCACATTGCGTGGGCCTGATCAACTCATTCCTTGTGTAACTTGTGTTGAGTCATGGTACTACCTCGGAGGAACCGAGACATTACCTATCCTGACTGCAATGGCTGAGATGCAGGCGGCTAGATTAGTCGATCAGGAGGCCACTAGATTAGCCAACTTGGCAATGATGGACACCGTTCGAGAGGCGAACCGGAAGGCCACGGAGGACGTTCTTGAGGCAAACAGGCTGGCGAACATGACCATGATGAGGGTCATGTTGGAGGAGATGAGGGTTGGCCGCACTGAAGGTCAGTTTCCTCCACCATCACCACCGCCTCCACCTAGTCTTCAGGACGACAACCAAAGCCATGTTGAGGGCACTGGTCATGTTACTGGGTTGATGGAGCCTTATGTGGAGCCTGCTGAGGACCGCGACGTGATTGATTGTTGGCTTAATGTTTTCCGCAAGCATAAGCCACCTTCCTTTGATGGGTCATTTGATCTCATTGCTGCTGTGAGATGGCTGCAGGCATTGGAGAAGATCTTCCGGGTTATGCAGTATACTGACCGCAGAAGCTGATGTTCGCC